AACCAAATATAACTAATGAAAGTAACCAAAAATAAAGTATTAATTTACAAATTTCAGAAAAATGAGTATGTAATAATTTTAAATATGCCCTAAGCTGGTGGTTTCCCAAATTTGCTGTCCCTTAGAAACATCTGGAATTTGTAAAACATCCCAGTGTCCAGGTAGGATCCAAAACTAATTAAATCAGAGTGTCTGGCAGTGACAGCCAGGCATTAATAGTTTTTTTTTTTAAAGATCCCCTGGCTGTTCCAATGTACAACATGATTTGAATGCACTGCCTTATAAACTCTCTTCATTCAAAATGTGGTGCACAGACTACAGCATTGGAGTCACCTGGGAGTTTGCAAGATATGCAGGTCTGGTGCCATCCCAGACCTCTATGATCAGTGTCTATGTTATTAGCAAGATCTCCAGGTGATTCATATACACGCTGAAGTTTGAAAACACAGTTTGAATTTTGAGAGAAATTAAACAAAATCTGTAAGCAGAATAATATATAGTAATTAGTTTGGGCAAATATATTGGCATCAAAAATGACTGTAACAATAATCCTAAGGAGAAAAGAAAAGCCCTTTTTTTCACTACTTTTGCCCTAATCTGATATTCTGATTTTATTAATCAACCGTCAGCTACTTTATCTGCAATATTAATTATTCAAACTTCACTTCTTTCTAATAAAGCATCTTACAATTGCTCAATACTCAATTAGCATTTTTGACCTTGAAATGTCGCTGTTTTGTTATCGATCTGCATTGTGAAAATTAATTACTGTGAGTCTTTTTCTGTACAGTAATAAGAATTTTATAACAATGTGGCATTTGTTTTGCTATTATATGAATGAATTATTACTTTTTGCCAGCGTTCTTTCTTCAGGTTTTACAGCATCCAAACTAGATATCTTATATTGTATGTTGTTCCTTTCTGTGCTAAAAATTGAATATATGCCAAGTCCATACAAATCTTATAATTATTCTCCACTATTCCACCATTTATTAGCTTAGTAACATTTGTTTGCATATTTACTACATACCAAACAATTTTATAGGGGAAGTTTTTTACATAGCCTGTGCAATTAATACTACATATTATTCAGCTTGAAATTTCGGTTGGAAAACCAATAAATTAAGGAAAATAAAATTCAACAATCCAACTTTAACAGAATATGGAGAACAAAGTGCTATCAAACATAAAAGAGGGAATAGTTTCCCTACCAATGGCTATTATTCAGTGGAGGGGTTACAATTTATATGATGAATAAAAATGTAGAAATATTCTGTTTTAAGTAAATGGGAAAAGAGAGCTCCAAGAGACTGGATACCAGTTAAAACAAAATGAGTAAGGGATGTCATGTCCAGGGAAGAGAAAAAAATTTGTTGTGGCTATGTTATAATGTGAGGAGAGAAGGGGTAAGAAAGGTGAGAAACAGGTTGTTCAAGAATGTTATAAAATGGCTTTGTACACCACATCAGAGAGTCAGGACATTTTCCATGGATCTACGTAATTGTCACATTGTAACATGTAAGATCTTAGAACAGCTCTTAAGAAGACAATGATGCATACTAATCCAGAGCTTACCAGATAAATAAGGTCAAGACCAGAGGAATTTGAAGTCACTAATGAATACAGTCGGTCTTTGATGCTGATTGGTCATATCACTTGGAAATTGATGGAGAAGGGTCCTAAGCCTAAAATCCCATAGATTACCAACATCTGGAGGACACACGGAAAAGATAATCCTGCAGATGACACTGAGAATGAGTTGCTATGGTGGCGGATGGGGACGCAGGACAGGAAAATAGTGTCACACACTGAGTTTTATAAGAGAACTGAGATGAAATGTGTGGCAGTCAAGGTCTGTTGTTCAGTTTTCCCAAATGTGATGCATGACTAATGTGTTAGTCCTGTTCCTTTTTGAAGGGCCCAAGGATTACATAAAACCAATATGAAAGCCTAGATAAGAGAAAACAAAAGCTGATGATGACTAACTCAATTCTGCTTAAAAACATGGCTTTAATCCACATTACAGAATAGTTGAAGTGAGGCTGTTAGGCAAGAAGATCCTGGCGCCAGGCTACCTAGGTTCATATCTTGGCTCTATGCATGGTGTACAGGTGATCCTGAACTTACCCTCCCCGTATGTCTCACTTTCCCGGTGTTTCAGGTGTTAAATGGAGCTCATCGGTACTCAGCCTCATAGAATTATTGCGTGGACTAAATGAGATGCTAAAAATCATGCATCTGGAAAGAGTTGGCAAAAAGCACACACAATAAATAAATGTTAGCTGTTATTATAATAAAAATGTTTCTTTAGCTTGGCTAGGATCCTGCAAGGTTATATCAGTGACACTTAAAATTCCACATAAGACAAAAAACAAAAAAGGAATATAAAACCTTTTCTAAGCAAGTCAAGAAGTTTCCTGTCTTGGGTAAACTGTCCTTTTGAATGAACGGTTTTTTGCTTTAACCTTGCATTAGGAAATGCAGAGACGCTTGGGATGAAAGTTTCAGTAGCAGGACTGAAATCGTGGGTCTGTAGGATCCATTGTATTGAAATAATTACAGACACTGGAGGAAAAGCATTTTATTCTGCTTTCCAGGGAAATATACAGAAGAAGACATTGTTCTCAAAAGATGACAGAGTTCTCAAACTAAAAAGCTAAATACCTATAACATACTGTAATAAGTCAGAGAATTTGAGGGCTGAGTTTCTAAGCCATTTAGGACATTATTTAATGATAATATAATTGATAAATACTGAAACTGCCATTCAACTAAATTAAAGATATTATTTATTTATTTATTTATAAGGCTGGTCAAGTGAAGCAGTGGGAGTAGAGAAGGAACAAAGGAATCTGTAACTGGTTGTGATTAATTAGTTGTAAACACCACTGCACTCAGACTAACCAAGATATTTATTTTTAAAGTGTGACATTTTGCTCAATAGTTTAAGCCCTCCTCTGATTATCTAGAAATAGTCATTTTCATACATAATATTTTACATTTAATGCAAGGGCTGCTCTATCCATCCATCCATCTACCTGTCTATGTATTTATAATAGATAACCTACCCCTAGCCATCTATTTGTAGATTGTGCCCAAGTTCTGAGAATTTATGGGACTAGAAGTATGTAAATTTCAGAAGAATGTTATCTCCTTACCCCCAAATATTCTTTCTGTTGACTACTTGAATCATAGGTGTTTCCTTGAATAGAAATAATGTACGTGACTCATGCATTGGTATATACACAGCTGGAAAATAGTACATTATTATTAAATCTTGGTGTATGCATTTTAGCTCAGTGCTACTCCTTTAATTTAAAAAACAATGCTAAGTCATACATGTGGAGAACTATGCTGCAAAAATAAGAAAAAATGCCATTTTCTATCAACTACTTACATATACTTGTATATTGAGGTTTTAAAAATCCTTGACACTCAGGTTTGTATACAAAAAACTAAACATGCCATTAACATTACTATAAAACAATAAAGTTGTCAATTGAAATGTATTCTAATAAATGTCATCATTTCTCTTAAGGATTCTTTAATTCTCTTCATTAAGTTATTTTAAGTTTTGATAAAGATATATCTCACTAATTTATTTTATGTACTCTTTTGACATCCATCACATCTTCATTTTACTATTTAATTAACCACATTAGACTTTTCTGTTCTTTGGTGATTATAATGTGAAATATTTCACTGACATAATTTTATAATATATGTTCCATTTGTTGGAAAAAGAAATGGAAGTTATGAAGAAAGATCCTCAGATGTATTTTATGTACTTTTTATAGTGTTTACTCTTTTTTAGCAATAATTTCTTTGTACATATGTCATATTTGCAATGTTCTGAATATGTATGCACAAGTTATTAGTCGGCACTAATGTTTTCTGTTAAAAATAATTTTTCATATCATGCCTATTTCTCTAAATTTCTTTCCTTGTGGTTGTTTTTTTCTCTATGATTCTTTAGGAGTTGATGTTATGGATTTTTAAACATACAATGGCTGGATTCAAATATCTCATAACCAATTTTATGTATTTGAAATATATCTTCCTTTCAAGAAATGATAAGATCTTCTGTAGAAATAATATTTTGTGAAAGTAATGTCCTTTAAACCACTAAAATCAGTATATTTGTTAACAATAGGAACACCGTATTTCATAATGGACAGAGAATTGGAGTTTAGATGTATTTCTTTCTTCTTCTGACTTCCCTTTGTAAACTTAGATATTTGCTTTTCTTTCCTGCTTTTCTTATCCAGAAAATGAGAACCTTAGCTGTTTTCAGCACGTTTCTAGCACAGCATCTGTCATTTGATATGTGAGCAATAAATATTTGTTGAATAAATGGACACTTGCTAAAAAGCTAGTAAGTGAAAGGGCAGGAATTCCAACCCAGGCACAGCCTCTTTCTAAAACTCCCTTTTCCCCTATGTGCCTAATCTCCATAAGGGCAGATAGACCTATATGTAAAATATTAAATTACTTGTGAGTATACATTTGCAAGATTATACTAATGTATTTTTCCTAGGCAACTATTAAGTCAGTAGAAAAAAAATTGGAATTAAAGTTGAAAGACATAGGTTAATTTCCTGGTTTTACGACTTATTTTTGTACATGTGCCTCAGTTTCTGCATCTCAAAATGATATTAGGTCTTTCGGTGTGTGTGTGTGTGTGTGTGTGTGTGTGTGTGTGTGTGT